AGTGATGAAAAGAAAGCGCCTCGGAGTGCCAGACAACAGCTCCCTCCTGGGCCGTCCCTCCCCCKGCCAACCTGCTGTGCCAACGTGCAGTCCTGGGGGCAGCCTGAGGATGACACGACTGTATTTATCTGCTCCCGGCTGCTTCTTCCTTAGCAATAGAAACGCGGGGAGTCATCTCTGAAGCCCCCGATCCCCTGTGTGCCGGGAGCACAGGCCAGCGACAGGAGGGTTTGGAATGAGAGCTCAGAATCAAGCTCAAGTGGGCAGCAGCCCCCTCGTGCATTCTCTGGGAGATGGCTGGCTTCCAACAGGAAGGACCGGGGGCACACAAAACACCCAGGGGCATCTTTCTTGCATCCAAAATGGACTTTACCCAGGACAGCTTCCCGTGGTCCAGCCTCTCACTGCACTGCAGGGGCCTTGCACACTGCTTGCTGACAGTGAGCAGGTCCCAGACACCAYGCAGCTCCCAGGTGTGAGCCGAGCCTGAGCTTGGTGGGTGGTCAGACCCCACCAGGGAGGAGGACTTCCCRGGATGAAGACACCCCGACTCCTCCACACAGAGCAGGAAAGCCTGATCGTCTTCTATARCCTAAGGAAAAGCCAGCGAGGGGGACGAGAACCAGGACGAGGAAAGACGGACAGGGGACAGCACCAGAGACCCAGCAGACAGCGGGCTCCGGTTCCCAGAGGGTCAAGGAGCCCGTGCACACGGCTGGGCGGGTGGGCGATCCCAAGGAAGGGAAGAGGAACACCCTCCACGCCAGCCCCAAACCCAGGCTCCTGGAGGGCGAAGACCATCCTCTGACAGCGTCTAGCCTCCAGAATGTCCTGGACAGGATGACAAGGATCCAGGGGGTCAGCGACGGAGGAGGAGGAGGAGACCCAGAGGCAGGAGGGGTGCGTGTGGRGACACACCCCAGGGAGCCTCGCCCCCACACACAGGTGACAGACAGCGGAGGAAGTCCCTCAGGGAGCAAGGGTGCGGAGTCTCAACTGTAGTCCAACCCSACGTCTCAGGAGTCCTGGGGTGAAGCTACCAGGAAGGCCTGACGATCCGTGTTCCACCTCCTCCTACTGACCACCAAGCAGAGCACGAGAACAGAGCCTGCCCACAGCGGCCCCGATGACAGCTGTCCAGTGGACAGTGAGGGACGCGTTTCAGTCGGGTCTTGGCGGTTCTCCTAGGGAAACCCCATGCCTACTGTTATTACGACTGTGTTCCTGTGGGGGATTGAATGCGAGCCCTCGGGGGAAGCTGTGAGCTAGTTGTGCTGAGGGTCCCAACTGGTGGCACTTAACATTTTTTTTGAAAAAAATAACTACATGCAACTAATGGAGCAGATCCCGTGCCATCGCTGTGAGCATGTTGACACGTGTGCAAGATGGACGGGAAGTGTGGGCACCACTCTGGAAAATTCTGGGTCCCCGTCTTGACCATGGCTCTCCCCATGGAAGATCTTCTCACATCTGACCCCAGAGGCAAGACTTGCCCCGACTTGAATCCTACACATGACCTCTGGGCCTGTCTGTCTCTGTTCAGTGTAAGGGTTCTGAGGCTCACCCCCAGCACCATCCTACTAGTGACTCATCCCTTTTTGTGAATGAGTCACRGTCCATTTTATTAAAATGCCATTCATTATTCATTTATCCATTTCCTTCCAAATGGACGCTTGAGTCACTTCTGGTGTTTTCCTGTTCAGAATAAGTGGCACTGAGCATTCTTGGACAGACGGAACACTGGGGACATATGCTTGATTTCTTTGGTAGTAATAACCAGGAATGGAATTACTGGATCACAGGTGTATGAATGTTTCACTTCACAAAAACACAGCCCGTTTCCAGTGGTTAACTCTATATTCCCACCAGCGAGGCCTGAGATTCAGTGGCTTCACACCCTCCCTTAAACTTGATACTGCGCATCTTTTTGATTTAGAGCCACTCGATGGATATGAAGTCACGTCCCACTGTGGTTTCCATTTGCATGCCCCCAATGACCAAGAGGTTCATCATGTCTTCACGAATTTATTAGCCATTTGAGCAATGTCTTTGGGGAGGTGACTAAGTCAATCTCTTTCTCTTTTGATTATTGATTTGTTGGAGTTCTTTACATWTTCAGGTTATAAGTCTTTTGTAACTTATATGTATTGCCAATATTTTCTTCTAATTTATAACTTGCCTTTCTCATTTTCTAAAACTGTCTTTACATGGACAGAGTTTTTTAATTTTGAYAGAGTATAGTTTATGATTTTTATTACATATCTAATGTTTTCTTGCATTCTGTTTAAGAAATGTGTGATCCTCTCAGATCACAAAAAAATCTTCCCATCTTCTAGAAAATTTGTATTTTAGTTTTCACATTCAAGTCTGCAATTCATTTCAAGTAAATTTTTGTATATTTTTATAGTATGAGTGGTGAGCTAAGGTTAATTCTCTTTCCATGTGGATATTCAATTGACCCAATACCATTTATTAAAAAGCCKTTCTTTTCCTTTTTTCTCATAACCATTCATCAAAAATAATCTGAATGTACATTTGTGAATCTATTTTCATTATTGCATCACCTTTAAATAAGATATTCTCTATAGCATTTTCACAGATACCTATTATTAAATTAAGGAATCTTATTTATCAYGAACACCTATTGGATTTTGTCAAGTGCATTTTCTGTATCTAATGAGAAGACCACATAATTTTGTCAAGTGTGTTTTCTGCATCTATTGAGATAACCATATGATTTTCTCCTTTATTCAGTTAATATGGTAAATCACATTGATTATTTAATGCTACAGCAATACTGCATTCCTAAAATAACCTCACTTATCCATGATGAATTATCCCTTTTAAAATATATGGCTGAATTGTGATCAGTAACATATTGAAAAGCTTTGTGTACTTTGGTGTTATTTCTTTTTTTAAGTGTTTGATCAAAGTCAAGTTAAGCCCACTGGGCCAGAAGTTTTTCTTTTATCATATCCAAATGGTAAAGTTTTTAGATACAGATTCAATTTCTTTAGCAAATACAGAGCCATTCAGATGGTTTCTTATCATTTCAGTTTCTAAAAATCATGTTTCTTCAAGGTATTTGCCTGTCTTATTGACATTGTCAAATTTGCTGGCATAACGTTTTTATAACATCTGTGATTTTCTGTGGTGATATCCTCGTGTGTGAGTGTGTGTGTGTGTGTGTGTATGTGAGTGTGAGTGTGTGTGTGAACATGAGTGTGTATATGTGTGCATGTATGTGTGTATGGGTGAGTGTGAGTGTGTGAGTGAGTGTGTGTGTGCGTGAGTGTGTATATGTGTGCATGTATGTGCATGTGTGGGTGAGTGTGTGAGTGTGTGTGTGCGTGAGTGTGTATATGTGCGCGTGTGTGTGTGTGCGTGTGTGTGTGAGTGTGAGTGTGAGTGTGAGTGTGGTTTGGGGTTGGTTTGCTTTTTCTGTACCAGGCATTGAGCTCATTGGGGCTGAACCACTGAGCCACACCCGCAGCCCTTGTAACATTTCATTTTGAGACAGGGTCTTGCTAAGTTGCTCAGGGCTCGCTCTTGGGTCTTAAAACTAGTTACCTGCACTTTTCTCTCTTTTGTGCAGTCCTAGTGCTAGGAATCATAAGTCAATGATCTTTCAAGACCTGGCCTTTTGCTGATTGCCTTCAGGAGCTGGTGTTCTACTCTGTTGATTTCCACTTATTATTCCCCTTCTCCTTCATCTGGGCCGACTTTGCTCCTCTTTTTCCAGCTCTTTAACACAGAGGCTTCAGTCGACGACTTTCCGTCCCCCTTTCTTATCGTCCCGTTGAAAGCCAAGGGTTTCCCTCAGCTCCTCTTCAGCTGTATTCTTCAAGCCTGATGAGTGGGGTCTTGTGATCCTTCTATTCAGAATACCTCCCAATGCCTTCCTTATTTCTTTCTGACCTGAACATTCTTTGGAAACGTAGWGTGAGTCCTCACTCGTCACTGATTTCTGTTCTGGGTGGTGCACCCGCATCTTCTCCGTGCCTCTGACCACACTGAGGTCTGTCCCATGCTCCGAGGTGGAGCCCATTTGGCTGAGCCTCCCCATGTTCTCGGGAGCCTGCGTGTTTTGTAGCTGGGGACACGGCATCAGACTCCCCCCAGCTCCTTTCCTTCCCCAGACTCGAGGGTCTGTTCTGGTCTCGGGGCCGTGCTCCTGTCTGCACAGCATTTCCTCACCCCCCCTCCCGTCAGTCCCCAGCCCTGCCCCTTCCCCCTGGGTCTCTGGAGCCTCCACCGACTGGGAAGGGAAGCTCCCTCCCCAGGGGTGCAGGGCCCAGAGGTCAGGAACTGCTGGTCAGGGAGGGGCAGACCACCCCCAGGCTTCCTCCCTGGCCCCTCTCACTCCGTTCTCAGCGGGGAACTGTGGTGACCCATTGGAGCGCTGACTGCTGGGGCACACAAGGTCATCTGTAGGCCCCRGGGAAGTCTCTGCTCTCTGACTCAGGACATGGCCTGTGTAAGGTACGGCATGATTTTTTTTTTTCTTTGCACACTGATTTTTTTCACGGTTTTCAAAGTGAATACGTACGTACTTGAAAATGTGCTTTACGAGAATCCTRAAGTCCTTCTCTGCATGTGATTTACCAAAGTGATAGATTCAAGTTTTGGAAAATTAGTTTACTTAAAGCAAAAGACCAAGTAAATGGAAATGCAGGGTGTTCAGCCATACGGTAAATGGAGCCCATTTAGAAGATTCAGGCAGACGGGTGCGATCACTGCTGTGCGCTCGCTCAACCCTCGCTGCTGCAYGGCGCAGACCAAAGCCGACTGTCTTAATCATCCCAGATCCTCCCAGAACTGCTTCTAGGGGAGCTGGGGTCCGAACCCACAGAGCACTGCACACCAGGAAAGCATTCCCACGGCACCCTCCATCGTCCACCCTGGCTTTGGGGTGGAGGCTGGACCAGCCCCAGGAGACGCCACGTGGCGCAGGCACCCGCGCCTTCTGCTCCCCGCGTCCAGCCCACGGACTTGCTCACCTTCTCCCACTCTCGGTCTTTGTTCAGCACGATCACCACCAGCCTGGGGTGCACCTGATAGCCCTGCTCCGTGAAGGACAAGTCTTTGCCGTCCCACGTCACATTGACCATAAATCTAGATGGAGGAAGAGAGAAAGACARAATTTAGAAAAAGATGAAACARGTGTCAACAGATGAGTGGACAGCACGCGCAGCACAGCACCACGGCCACCATGCATCCCCCGAGGGCTCCGTCCGTGGAAGGAGGGGACCCAGCAGGCACTGCCCACCCACCAGGCACTGTGGTCACCAGACTCCCCACCCCGTGTAGGCATCGATGATTGACCGTTTGGCTCCCGGAGCGGAGTTCTTGACCGGCAGATCCACAGATCTGGGTCCAGTGACCTCTCGGGAGGATCTGCGTACGTATCTGTCGCGCTTTAGGAAGCTCCTGAAGGAACCTGTCACTCCTGAACCACAGGTGGCCAACCTCCGAGCCGTGAGACCATTGGTCATTCACTCAGCAAGTTCTCACTGAGCACCTGCTCCATGCCACGGTGATGGGGATAACTAAGGAGACAAACGTGATCCCCAACTTCATGACCTCTCTGGTCTCAGGGGAGGGACAGGTGTCACTTCATGAATCACAGACTTATGACAAGTGCTACCACAGAAAGAAGGCCACGTCAGGGGAGCGGGATGGTCAGGTAGGCTGGCCAGGTAAAGAAGGACCCAGGCAGGCAAAGGGACAGCACGTGCCAACGGCCTGTGGTGAGGACCCGGAGAGCCCCCAGACGGAAGCGGAAAGAGACAGGGAAGACSAGTGGGGGCTGGCAGGGTGGGCCGCATGGGCCACTTGACGTTTTGTCTTTGTCTTAAACAAAGGGAAGCCATCGCCCGGTTCTAACTGAGGGGTTGACCTCATCATCTGTGGAGGACAGGTTGGAGGAGGGCTGGAGTGGGGAGAGGTCGCTCTTGTCATCGAGGTGAAAGCCAGTGGTGGCCCTGACACTGGTGGTGGCCAAAGAAGAGGCGAGGAGGAGGAAGAGGAAGAACGGGAGCAGTGGRCACCCTGGACCAAGCGGGGCGTCAGCCGTCAGGGTTCCGCACTGAGCGAGGCGGGGGGGGGGGACGGGGCAGGGGATCGATGGCTCCTAGCCCTCCCCACGTAACGTCCATGCAGCAAGTTGCTCAGCACAGGTGACGTCCGGGTGCCCTCTGACACCTGTCCCCTCCCGCTCCTCAGGTCAGGCTGCCTCTGATGGGCCACCAAGTTAGGGMTCGTCTCCCAGAACCTGGGGAAGCCAAGGTCCACGCTTCCTCCCTGCAGCTTGTGGAAAATGTGAGGTTCAAACATCCAGGAGAACACGCGGTGGCCGCGGGGCAGACCCCAGTGAGCACCAGGGAGCACGGTATCACTGCCCCCAGGGAAGCCCCGTCTCAGGGCCACGGCTTTCTCTTGCTTCACATCCTCTTCGCACCAAAAGCAGCTAAAGAAGTAAACACAGACCAAGGAGGACGGCGAGCGCAGAGAGAGACCGGCCCGGGCCCTCGTTCACCTGTGGTCTGCCCCGCACAGAGCCTGGCCGCATCGCAYGGGGGGATCAGGCCTCCAAGGACAAGGTGAGTGGACGGGGAGACGGACGCACGGTGTGTCCACTCAGGGGACCCTCTGGGTCATTAAGAGCCATGTGTCAGCGACCAGCCAAGGACATGGGGAAACGCTCACTGTTTCCCGTCAGCAAGCAGAACACGGATGGAGACGGCGCTCGTCCAGGCCCGGGAGGGTCAGGGTATGTCCCACTTCCTTTCGCGGGTCTTCTACCCTCCCAGTTGTGCACAACCAAGTCCTTTAACTCACAGAGAAGGAAGCGCTGCTCTCCTGGACGGAGCACAGCAGCCCTGTTCTGCTGGACGCTCCGAGCTTCCTCTGATCCTTCCTTGACTAACAACTGTTTGCTGTCTGTCTGAGCGAGTCTGTGCATACAGAAATAGACAACACGGAGCTCGGCCCTCTGACCGCACATGCGTACGCTCAAGGACGGGGACGCACGAACGGTGGCCAGCGCTAACACGCCACTGGTGCCCTGGTGAGGGAGGGAGAGAGGCTGCACAGTCACAGAGCAGGAGCCGGTCTCAACCTGGGGACCTCGAGGGGGAAAGGTGGGGGAAGGAGAGAGCCTCCAATGAGCAGAGTCAGCTGGGCCCAGAACCCTCCACGGCACTGACACCCGCCAGGAGGAGGACCGACGGTCACACTGTGTGCACGGGGACGTGTCGGGGACAGCGGGTCTCATCTGGGTTTTGTTGGAAGGCCACGGCCCTGAATGAAGACCTCCTGGAGGAGTGGYGCACCAGGGTCAGCACCAGGAGGAGCAGAAGTGCGCAGCCCCCGGGCACCGGGAGAGACGGCCAGCGCTTCAGTGAGTGGCCCAACACAGCCACCGTCAACGCGATGGAAAAGGTTCTGTGTCTTCTTCCCTGATGCTTCTCGGCTGGCCGCTGGCCTGGGATGTGCTAAACGGACGTGGTGCGGAAGGGGCACCTCAGGAGCCCGCACAAGGCCCTTCTGTTTAACTGGTGCGTGATAATCAGACTCATGGGGGAATCACTGCGCCCTGTTTGCACACGTAGGAAACCCAGGTGACCCACCTCGTTCCCCAGGACCTTCCTTCCCCTCCCTGATCTGCTYGCTCTGTTGATCTCCCTTCAGTTATCACCATTACTTTAATCCGTGCAGGATTCACACGGACACGCGTGATCTGGTAGATTCGGTTCCCTAGAACTTCCCCGCGGCCTCCCTTCTCCCTCCCTCTCCATCCCCTTCCTCCGGCCCGTAGCCTCCCTTCTATTTCTGTGAGACCATGTTCCTCTCTTACCCCCCGCCCCGTAGCTCCCCCATAAGAGAGAGAACATGTGACCCTCGACTCTCCGAGCCGGGCTCACGTCACTCAGCGGGAGGATTTTTGGTTCCGTYACTGAAGTTCTTGGACTGGGGCGTAGAGAAAAACTGAACTTTGGTGGGATTCCTCAGTGCCTGCAGCTTTCTCAGTAGCTCACTGAGACCTGGATTAGACTGTTTTTATTCTTCAGGTTGACATTTTAGTTCCATTCCTCTTGGTTATTTTTGGCCTTGTCACATTGTGTGGCATAGAACAGTGGCCCAGTTAATGCCGGTGGCTGAGGATCCTGACAGGTCGACACTGGAAGTCCCATCCCCTCATCCGTGCGTGTGTCCATTGTTGACAGTCCACCCATCCTCCTGTCCATCAGTGCACTCATCAACACGCTCGTCCATCCTCCCGTCCAAGGGACGTGGGTGAGTGCCCACCATATGCCACACCCTGTGCCAAAACCTTCGCTAAGAGAATGACACAAAAGTGGCCATGTGTTTTCAGGGTAGGGAGGGAGACGTAGCTGAGTGCGCACACACGCGGAGAGCAGCTGTAAAAACGGGGTGTTCACCAGGTGGGGGGCGCACAGGGAAAGGTGGCCATGTCTACTGGGGTTCCAGGGCTGGCACCGGGAAGCAGGTGGGAATGTCTGGGCGGGATCAGAACGAGGTGAGTAAGAGCGAGGAGAGGGTGGACAGGTGAAGGGAAAGACAAGAGCCAAAGGGGGAACCCGGGACTTCCTGGGGCATGAGTCCAGCCCGGTCAGAGCCTCAGGATGCGGGGAATGCGGGGCAGAAACCTGGGAGCTGACGCGGGAGACAGGAGCAGGAATCAGACAAGAAAGTCGTCAGCAGAGCTCCGAGGGCCGCTCCCTGCTGAGGTCACCCGGGGGGAGGCTCAGGAGCAAGTCTGAAGGAGACAGCGACCAACGGAGGACACTCACAGTGACCCCGACAGGAAAGAGGGTCCGGGAGCAGCCCAGACAGGCCGTGGAATTCCACCACGCCCGTCACCCTCCACGGCTCGCCCCGAATCCGCGGTCAGGCTGGTCGACGCGTGGAGGTGCCTCTTACTGAACCCAGCGGGCTCTCTCGCCAGCTGTCCGCTCTCTAACACTTCAGGGTGGATGGACTCGGGTTGGATCTTCCTAATGCCCCGAATGTGGTAAAAACTGACAAGGTTTAGTAAAGGATCAAGAAGCTTAGAGATGTCCAGGTGTTATCTGTTTGGAAAAGGTAGACGCCGTAGTTTGCATCTTGAATCTTCCCCAAAGGCTTGGTCTACARCGTGGTGCTACTGGAAGATGGCGGAACCAGTGGTTAGTGGGAGGTCATTAGAGCATTGTGGGCCTCCTCGGAAGAGGGTAGGGGGAACCCCTGTCCTTTCCTCTCTCTTTTTTACTTTGTGGCTACAAAGTAAGTGCCATTTTTCTCCCATGTGCTCCTACCACACGTCTGAAAGCCATGGTCTTGCCAATCATGGACTGGAACCTTCAAAACTGTGAGCTGAAATAAACCTTYGCTCTTGATAAGTTGATTATCTCAGGTTATTTGTGATAATGATGAAAACTGACCAATACAGGCAGACCAGAGAGCAAATGTTTTGAGTTTTGATTGATAGACAGATGGCCCTGGGGACAGCCACTTGCAGGTTATGTGCACGGACTGAATGTCAGTCAGTCACTGTTGAACTCAACAAGTCAGCGTGTACCAGTGAGTGTCTTTCTTTGGATTTACCTGTTTAAATGACTTAAATCTCCATCTTTAATTTCCCATCTCTATTTCTCGACTCATTCCTTTTCTTCCATTTCCCAGTGAAAGCAGGTGGAATTATCAGGGTGATCWTTTGGATTCAATCTGCCTTCTTCAGATAACATTAAAACAATTATRTAGAAACCCTTACGCTACGGATTGTTCGGAGTTCCTTGAATATTCAATATTCTGGACCAATGACTCTATATACTCAACATTAATATTGYCTCTTTTCATCTATTTGGAGTCTCCAGTCCCTTGGGAGGAAAAAAGAAAAACTCTAACAGAAATTTCTGCTGAACAGTAATTTCATCACGAAGTTGGCAGGAAGCAAGTCCCTATTACCTTCAATTCCCCCTTCCAGTTTCTAGGAAGGACAATCCATRTTTCCTTGGCCTTTCTTCCCACTTAAACTTGCTCCAGAGCAAAATTTTTTACCTAGGGAAATAGCATTCTATACCACGTTGCTGGGTCCCCACTAACACCTGCTG